TGTGTGTGTGTGTGTGTGTGTGTGTGTGTGTGTGTGTGTGTGTGTGTGTGTGTGTGTGTTATTTCAGCTGGTAAATCATGTGGTTGATTGCAGCAGAGGCGAAGCGTGTCGGTGATGAGAGCCTGGAATCAGGGTCAGGACCTCCTGATCACGGCAGAAACAATAATAACTCTTCAGTGTCTTCGTCGCTCCTCTTCCTCGGTTTGCAGTTTCTGCTCGTAAAGAAAAGACGAGTTTCGACACAAATCACCAGAATATGTGGTTTGGAACTAAATTAAACCCATGTTTAAAAACCAGCTCACCTTTCGCTGTCTTCATTTTTTTTCAACACACTTTTTCTCCATAAATCCTAAAAACTGTCAAAGATTTAGGTCTTTGTTTTGTTTTGAGTTCAAATGTAAAAAAAAATTAGAATCTGAGATTTAGTGTTAAAGTTCAAGACGTGCTCTACTTTAAAATCAAAGAGACAGCGTTCTTTGAAGAAATGCACATCAAACGACACCTTTCAGCGACTGAGTTCATCATGATGGAGGTAGTTTGGAGCCAAATCAGGCCATAAAGTTTGTTAAAAAAATCAACTCAAAAAGAAATATGAAACTGAAAAAAAAAAGTTTATTTTTCATTATATGCTACAATGGCCTGCCATATTTTATTATATGTTACAATGGCCTGACCAGACATATGTTAATTAATTACAACTGTAATTTCATTGTGCTCTGTACAACAACAATAAAGGTCTAATCCAATCTAATCTAATTATATGGTACAACAACCTGCCATATAGGTATTATGAAACAATGGCATGACATTTTTTATTATACTGTATGTTACAATGGCCTGACCAGACACATGTTAATTATATGGTACAACGACCTGCCCTATGGGTATTATGAAACAATGGCCTGACATATTTTGATTATATGATACAATGGCCTGCCAAACAGGTTAATTATACTGTATGTTACAACGGCCTAATATACATCATTAATTATATTATTTAACAACGTGCCATATTTTTTAATTATTAGACAAAATGGCCTGCCACAAATTTATTATAAAATACAATGGCCTGCCATGCTTGGTTATTATATGATACAACTGCACGCCACATACATTCGATTATATGATACGAGAAGTTTTGACCTTTTTTTAAAAATCAGTTTCAAATCTTTTTGTTTCAATTCTAAATTTTTTATTTAATTTTGAAAAATAATTTTAGACAAATTTTATCTCCACAGATGAGAATAAAAACAGACAGACTGATCTTGGAGCTGCTCGTGTGGTTCTGGACTCACAGTTCCGGGTCTTGGATAGGGGATGCGTCCCTTGTACTCGACCCAGCGGTAGTCCGGACCTTCTTTGTGAGCAAACGGTCCGTTGAACGCAGCTCGGATCGACGCCATGGAGTAAACACAGACCGCCGAGCCGTGAAACAAGGAGCTGAGGGAGGAAACACAGGTGAGTGTTGGACAGGTGAGAGAAAAAACACAGGTGAGTGTTGGACAGGTGAGGGAGGAAACACAGGTGAGTGTTGGACAGGTGAGAGAGGAAACACAGGTGAGTGTTGGACAGGTGAGGGAGGAAACACAGGTGAGTGTTGGGCAGGTGAGGGAGGAAACACAGGTGAGTGTAGGACAGGTGAGGGAGGAAACACAGGTGAGTGTCGGACAGGTGAGGGAGGAAGGACAGGTGAGGGAGGAAACACAGGTGGGTGTCAGACAGGTGAGGGAGGTAACACAGGTGAGTGTCGGACAGGTGAGGGAGGAAGGACAGGTGAGGGAGGAAACACAGGTGGGTGTCGGACAGGTGAGGGAGGAAACACAGGTGAGTGTCGGACAGGTGAGGGAGGAAACACATGTGAGCGTTGGACAGGTTACAAGTCTGTCCTCAGGACCAGAGACAAGTCTGTCCTCAGGACCAGAGAGAAGTCTGTCCTCAGGACCAGAGACTGGTCTGTCCTCAGGACCAGAGAGAAGTCTGTCCTCAGGACCAGAGACAAGTCTGTCCTCAGGACCAGAGAGAAGTCTGTCCTCAGGACCAGAGACAAGTCTTTCCTCAGGACCGGACAGAAGTCTGTCCTCAGGACCAGAGACAAGTCTGTCCTCAGGACCAGAGACAAGTCTGTCCTCAGGACCGGAGAGAAGTCTGTCCTCAGGACCAGAGAGAAGTCTGTCCTCAGGACCAGAGACTGGTCTGTCCTCAGGACCAGAGACTGGTCTGTCCTCAGGACCAGAGACAAGTCTGTCCTCAGGACCAGAGTTCAGTCTGTCCTCAGGACCAGAGACAAGTCTGTCCTCAGGACCAGAGACAAGTCTGTCCTCCGGACCAGAGACAAGTCTGTCCTCAGGACCAGCGTTCAGTCTGTCCTCAGGACCAGCGTTCAGTCTGTCCTCAGGACCAGAGTTCAGTCTGTCCTCAGGACCAGAGTTCAGTCTGTCCTCAGGACCAGCGTTCAGTCTGTCCTCAGGACCAGCGTTCAGTCTGTCCTCAGGACCAGAGTTCAGTCTGTCCTCAGAACCAGAGTTCTGTCTGTCCTCAGGACCAGAGACAAGTCTGTCCTCAGGACCAGAGTTCTGTCTGTCCTCAGGACCAGAGACAAGTCTGTCCTCAGGACCAGAGTTCTGTCTGTCCTCAGGACCAGAGTTCTGTCTGTCCTCAGGACCAGAGACAAGTCTGTCCTCAGGACCAGCGTTCAGTCTGTCCTCAGGACCAGAGACAAGTCTGTCCCTTCCAGGCCACCATAACAACCGAACTAACTCAAACTGAAAGAATCAGAGTCTCACCTGGATGTCTTGAAGACGCCGTAGACCGTCGGGTTCTGAGGGTCTTTTGTCTCCAGGACAAAGATGTCCTCTAAATAGAAACCAACAGGACGGTCTGGGGTTAGGTCATATCCTGAGCTACAAACTGTCAGCAGGACGGAGACGGTTACCCAGCTCATCGAAGTGTGTGTCCACTCCAGACGGACCAGGGACCGAACAGACCAGTCTGGCTTTGAGGAAGGTGGTCCAGCGGTTGATCAGACTCCTCTTCCCACCAACATCATTCTGAGGGACGAGAGACCAAGACACAGAGTTTACAAGTCTTCAGGGATCTCCGTAGTGAGTCCTCCTCCATGTCCTCACTCCGACTAACTCCATGTCCTCTCTAACTGCATCCTAACTCCTCTTTGTCTCACTGTCTCAGTCAGTTCCTGTCCTCTGCAGCTGGTTCTGGGTCAGGTCTTTGTCAAGTCCTACCTTGCAGACTCGAGCCACTCGGCTGTAGACCCTCTGGTCCCACTGGCCCGTCTCCACAGCCTTCTCCTTGAAGAAGAAGTAAAGTTTGTCGTCGTCCGGACTGTGAGTGTCAGGGATGGAGAAGGACCCCACAAACTCTGGTTCTGAGAGGGACAGGGACAGAGACAGGGACAGAGACGGTCTTTAGTTATTTATCATTTTACGAACACTGAGGAGTCTCAGACCAGATGCTTCTGATCCAACTTTAGCTTTTAGCTACATTTATGCTAATTTAAGCTTTTAGCTAAAGCTTTGCTGTTTTTAGATGTTAGTTAAGTTTTTGGTAATTTTAACTTTTAGATGTAATAATCTTTGTTAGCTTTTAGCTTCAGTCTCATTTTAGCTTTTAAATGTTGTTATGCCATTTTCAGCTATTAGCTAAAGCTTTGCTCCTTTTAGCTTTTAAATACGGTTATGCTAATTTAAACTTTTAGCTAAAGCTTTGCTGTTTTTAGCTACATTCTCTCATTTTAGCTTTTAGATATGTTTATGCTAATTTAAGCTTTTAGCTAAAGCTTTGCTCTTTTTAGGTTTTAGCTACAAGCTCTCATTTTAGCTTTTAAACATGTTTATGCTAATTTAAGCTTTTATCAAAAGCTTTGCTGTTTTTTGATTTTAGTAAAGTTTTTGGTAATTTTACCTTTTAGATGTAATAATCTTTTTTAGCTTTTAGCTTCAGTCTCATTTTAGCTTTTAGATGTTGTTATGCTATTTTCAGCTATTAGCTAAAGCTTTGCTCCTTTTAGCTTTTAAATACAGTTATGCTAATTTAAACTTTTAGCTAAAGCTTTGCTGTTTTTAGCTACATTCTCTCATTTTAGCTTTTAGATATGTTTATGCTAATTTAAGCTTTTAGCTAAAGCTTTGCTGTTTTTAGCTACAGTCTCTCATTTTAGCTTTTGGATATGTTTATGCTAATTTAAGCTTTTAGCTAAAGCGTCGCTGTTTTTAGATTTTAGTAAAGTTTTTGGTAATTTTACCTTTTAGATGTAATAATCTTTTTTAGCTTTTAGCTTCAGTCTCATTTTAGCTTTTAGATGTTGTTCTGCTATTTTCAGCTATTAGATAAAGCTTTGCTCCTTTAAGCTTTTAAATACATTTACACTAATTTAAGCTTTTAGCTAAAGCTTTGCTATTTTTCGATTTTAGTTAAGTTTTTGGTCATTTTACCTTTTAGATATTACCTTGTTTTTAACTTTTAGCTAAGGATTTTAGCTCTTCTATGTTGTTATGCACTTTTTAGCTTTTAACTACCATTGTGCAACACCTTTTTTTAATATTTTTTTTTTTTGCTAATTTTAGCTACAATCATATTCCTACCCTTTAGCTCCTGTTTTACTCTTTTTGATCTTAGGTAAAGTTGACGTCAGGTCACCTGGAATGATTTTCAGATTTAATAAAATCATATTTTCAGTCAGACTCTGAGTTTTAGACGAACGTTTGGAGCAGAGGGAGGAGGTTTGTTTTGAACCTGACGGTGGTCCCACCTGGCGGACAGGTACAGCTGTTTCAGAATCAAACCTGAGTTAAGGAGAATCTTCTCACCGTTCAGCCAGTTCTGATCGTAGGCTTCGGTCCGGATGTAATGCTGGCTGCCGCTCCGGACCGACGTGCGGAAGATCGCCGCGTTGGCGCCCATGAAGTCCACGGAGGTGCCGGCGTACAGCTCGCCGTCTGAGCCGAACAGAGACACTCATTCAGAACATTCAGTGGACTCTAAGACTGAGCTGCTAAAGCTAACAGAACACTAGCTAAAAGCTAATGTAGCTAAATGGTAAGAAGTAGCGTAAAGCTATCTGAATGCTAAAAGCATGAAAAATAAAGCCAAAAGCTAAAAGTAATGCAACCAGCAACACAAAATTCAGTTGAATGTGATGTTCTAGAGACAAATCAGAACCTCTCAAATGGACCTGGTGACCTGTTGAAAGGTTCTGACCCGACGAGTCAACAAACTCACCTACAGTAACTAGCTTAACTAGTTTAGTAGCATGAAAGTGCTACCTTTAGCTGCTTGGTTTTAGCTGTTCTGTGATTTTATCTTTTAAAGAGGACTTCAGTGTTGCTTCAAGCCCGTCAGAACCAGCTGACCCGTCTTGTTTTATGTTCTTTGTGTTGCCTGATGTCAGCCTGTTGAATAACTCAATCGGACCCCCCAGGCCCCCCAGTTTGGGTTCAACTCGTCATGTCTGGGACAGGATGGATGGTTCTGGACCAGACCTACCGCTCAGCCTGGCTGTGAAAGTCTCTCTGGGACTGAAGGGACATTTTCCTCGTCCTGACTCCTCTGTGGGGGACAACAGGAACAACGGCTCCTGTGGGACAGAGACGGGGGACGGAGGGGGGACCACAGAGAACGAGACACAGAGGAAAAGATAAATCTGAGCCTCGGACACCAAACGCATCTTCAACATCGATTTTTAAAAAACATCACAATGCAGGCGGACATTTTGTATGGGATTAATCTTGTGTCAGCAGGAACTGAAATTGAATTGTTCAGATTGAATCTGAATGTTCATAATTTGAAACAGAATTCATTGGTTTGAAAATAAATTTTACTAATTTGAAACTGAATTTAAAGTTTTGTATCTGAATTAATTTGCTTTGAAAACGTAATTTTGATTTATAAAAATTCAGTTTGACTACTTTCACTTTCAGTTCCATAATTCAGATTTTTGTGTCACATCCTGGTCCTTGAGAAAGCCAGGCAGAGTAATCAAACACAGATCACATATTGATCAGATGCTGCTGACTGATCCATGATGTCATCATGTAAATGTAACATTTTCTACATATAGGTCAAATTAATCACTGCAATAAAATAACTTTGTGTGTTTTTGTCACTTTTACAGTGGATTGCATCAACTCTGTTACATCCAGAAGGGAAACTTCACCAAAGTGAAACATAAATCTGTGGATCTGTGTTTGATTACTCTGCCTGGCTTTCTCAAGGACCAGGATGTGACACAAACATCTGAATTATGGAACTGAAAGTGAAAGTAGTCAAACTGAATTTTTAATAAACCAAAATACAGTTTCAAAGTAAATTAATTCAAATACAAAACTTTAAAATCAGCTTAATTTAATGAAATTTATTTTCAAACCAATGAATTCAATTTCAAATTATGAACATTCAGATTCACTCTGAACAATTCAAATTCAGTTCCTGCTGACACAAGATTTATCCCGTACTTCTGTTCCAAACTTTATATTTACTGAACCGAACAGGTAAAGGTGTGTCTGATTTCAGAAGGCTGCTGAAACCAAAACACTAAAATTAATTCAGGAGTGGTAGTAGCTGAGAGTCGTCTTCAACATTTAATAAATAATCTGGCAGGTGAAAAGCCTTCCTTACTTTATTCATCATTCATGTGCAGAAAAGGTTGAAATCTTCAGGGTTTGTAGAAAATTTAAAATTTATTTCAAATTCAAAAATACTTTATTGATCCCAGAGGGAAATTAGGTGTTGTTGTAAGTCATTTAACTAAAAACTTATTGTAGATGCTGATGGCTGTGGGCAGGAAAGATCTTCTGTAGGTCTGTATTACAGTGAAGTTGAAGAAGCCTCCGACTGAAGACACTTTGTCTTTAATGACAGTCTGATGAAGAGGATGGTCAGGGTTGTCCACAAGGTTCTTGATTTGATGTAAAATCCTTCTTTGCACCATCATCTCCAGAACAGAACCAGCCTTCTTTATCAGGTTCTTTAGCCTTTTTAGGTCCCTGGCTCTGATTTATAATAAACAGGTTCTGGTTCTCATTGATCAGAACCTCAGCTGGACCACAGTCAGACCTGAGGTCTGAGGTCGTTCCTGGTTCTGGTCCAGATCTGATACCAGCAGCAGAAAAAATGAAACTTTTCTGTGTTTTTTTTTTTTCTGAAATGTTTGGCAGAGGAGCCGGCGTGTCGGCCAGCATCGACTGAACTCTGTGAAATATCTGTTTGAGCTGCTGAAGCTTTAATGAACGACTTTATTTTCTCTAAAAACAGTAAAAATTATTCTGTTGTTTCTGCAAGAATCAAACGAGTCGCAGCTAAAAAACAACAAGTCACAGAAAAACTATCAGCCGAAGTTACATCAGCTAAAGTTCTGTTGGCTCGTTGTTTACTGAGTGACTGACTGAGTGAGTGAATGAATGCATGAATAAATGAGTGAGTGAGTGAGTGAGTGAGTGAGTGAGTGAGTGAGTGAGTGAGTGAGTGAGTGAGTGAGTGAGTGAGTGAGTGAGTGAATAAATGAGTGAGTGAGTGACTGACTGACTGACTGAGTGAATGAGTGAGTGAGTGAGTGAATGCATGAATAAATGACTGAGTGACTGAATGAATGAGTGAGTGAGTGAGTTTTTCACCTCTGCGTTGTGGCCCAGGTGCACGTACGTGCACTGTGGGTGGAAGGCTCCGGTTCCACAGGCGTAAACATGAGTCTTATTGAACGGCTGCAGCAGACGCACAAAGTTGGCACAATCTCTCTGAAAACACACAAAAACACACAAAAACACACAAAAACACAGAAACTAAGATTTATTTTCTTTTAAAGAACAGATTAAAGCAGATGCCGAAACAGCTGGTTGGATTAAAAACAAACATTTGTTGACCTCTCACCTCCAGACTTTTTCCTGCTAACCTGCAGCGCTCCACGTGTTCTGGAGCTGCAGGCCAGAAGACCTGAGGAAAACAGCCGAACATATTAATGAAACACTGAACTAACCGAACGCTTGTTACGTTAGCATCAGCTGAATGTTGAGTCGAAACAAGAAAAACATCACAGAGCTGAAGTTCACTGAACGAGATAAAACAGAAAACTAATAGAAGCAGAGCTCTAGCTAAATGCTAACATAAGCAAAACAAGAATATGCTAGCTAAAAGACTAAATGAGAAAAATTCTAGCTAATAGCTAAAAAGAAGCAAAATACAAGCTAAAAGCCAGACTAGAAAATGCTAACTAATAGCTAAAATAAGCAAAATGCTAGCTAAAGGCCTAGATAAGAAAATGCTAGCTAATAGCTAAAAGAAGTAAAAAGTTACCTAAAAGTAACGAGGATTAGTTCAAATCATCAAAAGCCTGGCTAGAAGATGAAAGTAGCACAATAGCTAAAAGCTAAAAGTTGCTAAAATAAAAAACAAAAAGTATGTGCAGGTTTCAAAAGACAAACGTTTTTTAAAGGAATTGAAGACATTTTGAAATTTACATGTAAAATATGTTAAATATTTTATAAGAGTAAAAAAGTTGTAGCTTCCATCTCTTGAATGAGCCGAACATTTTAACAGACAAACAGCTAAAATATCAAAGTTTGCAGAAGCTGTTGGATTGTAGCTAATGTAATCTTTGGGGTAAAAAACATTATCTTATTAGAAGTTATTTATTAAATCTTTTAAACATTAAAGGAAAGCTACTGCTTGCTAATGCTAGCTGCTAAAGCTAATAATGAGCCGAAGGCTAGGAAAGCCTCACCGTCCGTGTGGGCCGGTCCAAACTGTCAGGACTCAGCAGGTAGATGTGATCCTTCCCTCCCACCAGCAGCCGACCCCGGTCCTCGTCCAGCAGCAGGACCTGGTAGCCCCCGCTGACCCCGGACTCCCAGAACACCGCAGACCCGTTCCTCAGATCTGGAACGAGGAACAGTCTTTAGAACAATCCTTATTTCCAGTCCAGATTAAACCAGATGATGGATGAGTCCATCAAGTCCGGTTCTGGAGAAGCAGGAGGAACCGGATCAGATGAGACAACAGATCACTGAGTCTCTGATCTAAGCTCCTGGAGAACATTCTGTGATTTCAGCTTCAGTGAAACTTGACTGAAAGCAGCTAATTAACCTTGAAATTCCTGCAGCTGTGCCTGTCCCTGAACGCACCACACTGGTTTCAGCTCATTCATCACAGCTGAGAGGAAGAAGGCGACTCTCTGAACGCACCTCTGCACTGCAGAAATGCATTTCAAAACGAACCGATCTGCGATAATCCCACCAGATTCACCTGAGATTACAGCAGATAATCTGTTAACGAGAAGAACCAGGAAGTAAAGTTTGTTTGTTCTTCTGTTACAGAAAAAATTATTTAATGCATGAAAAAAACTCCAAGAATCTAATTCCAAACAAACAGAAATGTTTTTAAATCCTGATTGTTTATTCAGATTAAACTGGGATTATGTTTTTAATTATTAAAGAAAATAAACAAAAGTCACTAAAAATCGAGTTATTAAACTCCTGTTCTGAACTCGTGGCTTCAATAAGAAACTATTTGAAATCTTTCATTTAACTTTTCGCAAACTTTAGCCTTTAATTTAATAAAAGTAAAATTTTAAACACATAAACTTTCAAAGGATTTTTAATAAAAACTTTCTCTCCTTCGATATAGAAATGAACTCAGTTCAGTATTTTCAACGTGGCTTTATGAATATGGAGAACCAAAACTGACATAATTAGAAATAAAAGCAGAAATAAATAAACGGACCAATAAATAAATAAATAAATAAATAAATAAATACACTTAAAATGCACCAATTAAATTAAAAAAGGATAACTTTACCTCATGCTTTATCATTTAGCGAAGCTAAACTGAGGCAGCACAAGCAGGCACAGTAGATCTGCTACTTCCTGTCTGTTGGCCAATAGGAGAGCAGCTGACCAAAGAAGCCCCACCCACCTTATTTACATAAAGAGGCAGAAAGACATAAGGTCAAGTAAAAACAGGAGACAGAGAAATGTAAAAATAACACATGGAAATAAAAAGACTTGGTGTATTTATTTATTTATTTCTGTTTTTATTTCTGATCATGTCAGTTTGGGTCCTCCATACGTGATGGGATTAATGTCAACAAAGGGTTAGTGTGGAACAGCTCGTTCTTCCTCAGGGTTCTGATGAAAACCTGGACCTGCTTCACACGGACTCTCAGATCTAATCCATCAGACTCTAAATCGACCACATAATGAAATGAAAACTTAGCTGGGGGGGGTCAGAACACGCTCCCGAGGGCCACACGCTGGAAAATACTGAAATACTGAAAAGAGAAGCCAAAACCTGACGTCACCGAGCCGAAATCAGTCACACTTAATCCTTAACTGTTCCATAAATTAAACTCACAGAATCTTCATTCATCACTGAAACACAAAGATTACAGCAAGAAACAGATCAAATATCAGTTCCTCTGAGTCTGGATAAAAAACTGATGTTCCTTCCCATCAGCCTGGAGGTTCTGGTGGTTCTGATGGGTTCTGATGACCTGGATTAGAGCTGATTGGTTGGAGGCAGGAAGTCGCTGCTTCTATAATCTTAATTCAGCCACAGCCTTCAATCCATCGTCTGATGTTTGAAAAGAAGAGCGTGAGGTCAGGAAAAAGAAACAAGACGAGTCTCGTGTTAAATCCAACAGAACCAGAACCGGTTCAGAACCAGGAGGGACCGGCTGAGAACAGGTGTAACACCAAAGGTTCAGTTTGTGATCTATTATCACTGACGTCATGTTTACCTCAGCTAGCACATGCTAACAGCTAGCACATGCTAACAGCTAGTACATGCTAACAGCTAGCACATGCTAACAGCTAGCATGATGCAGCCGAAACCAAAGCAAACAGCTAAAAATGATCAAACTCCCCCGAGCAGCTAAAACACAAAGTTAACTGTTAAAGATCTGAGCTCAGATTTAAATAAAATATATTTAAAACAATCCCACCGACACGTCTTCCCATGAGGAAGCAGAACCTGAGGACCCTGGGTCGGACTCTCCAGTCTCTGGTGCCGAGGTCACTGAGGTGGTTAAAAAGCTCCTCGGTGACAGGGTGCCGGGGATGGATGAGATTCACCTGGAGTTCCTCAAGACTCTGGATGTTGTAGGGTTGTGTTGGCTTACGCGACTCTTCAATATCGAATGGACATCGGGGGCAGTTCCCCTGGATTGGCAGACCAGGGTGGTGGTCCCCCTATTTAAAAAGGGGGACCGCAGAGTGTGTTCCAACTATAGGGGGATCAGACTTCTGAGCCTCCTTGGTAAGGTCTATACAGGGGTTCTGGAGAGGAGGGTCCATTGTGAAATCTCGTGTTCAGGAAGAGCAGTGTGGTTTTGGTCCTGGTCGTGGAACAGTGGACCAGCTCTACACCTTCAGCAGGGTCCTGGAGGGTTCATGGGAGTTCAACCAGTCTACATGTGTTTGTGGATTTGGAAAAGGAGTTTGACCGCGTCCCTCAGGGACTCCTGTGGGGGGTACTCCGGGAGTATGGCCATTGATACGGGCTGTTAGATCCCTGTAGGACCGGTGCCAGAGCTTGGTCCACATTGCTGGTAGTAAGTCGGACTTGTTTCCAATGAGAGTTGGACTCCACCAAGGTCGTCCTTTGTCATAGATTCTGTTCATAACTTTAATGGACAGAATTTCTAGGAGCAGCCAAGGTGTTGAGGAGATCCTTTTTGGTGACCTTAGGATCACATCTCTGCTTTTTTGTGGATGATGTGGTCCTGTTGGCTTCATCAGATCCTGATCTCCAGCTCTCACTGGAGCGGTTCACAGATGGGATGAGGATCAGTGCCTCCAAATCCCAGACCATGGTCTTGAGTCAGAAACCGGTAGGGTTCCGCCTCCGGGTCAGGGAGGAGGTCCTGCCCCAAGTAGAGGAGTTTAAGTATCTCAGGTCTTGTTCATGAATGAGGGAAGAATGGAGCGGGAGATCAACAGGTGGATTGGTGCTGCGTCTGCAGTGATGTGGGCGTTGTACCGGTCTGTCGTGGTGAAGAGAGAGCTGAGCCAGAAGGTGAAGCTCTCAGTTTACCAGTCGATCTACATTCCTACCCTCATCTATGGTCAGGAGCTTTGTGTAGTGAC